TCCGAAAGGGGGTAATCATTGTTATCTTACAAGCGCAGCGCTTGTTCCGGACGCGCAACTGCGCGCCGTCACGAGCGGCAGGTGAATGCAAATCGTCGAAGAACTTAGTCACCGTGAATATTAAATGAAAAGAAGGGAGAGCGCTCGGTCTTCGCGTCTTTGTACGTATACACAATGTGTCTGGTAATTGTACCGCGCGGTTTTAAGGACGCGCAAAAATTCACTCATCGCGCCGTCGTTCGGTCGCCGTCCGAAAAGAAAGAATCCGGAAGCACGTAGGACATGGGACGAGGCAAGAGAGAAGGGATCAGGGCTCCGACTTGTAGTTTGGCAGAGCGATTTTTATTCACAACGGGTGGCGGTAACTGAGCGGCCCGCGACGAGGCGACGGGAGGGGGCGAGATGGAAAGACAAACAAATGGATAAGTGTGAGTGCGTCCAGGAACGTAATTAATGGGTAGTTTGGCGGTCGGCTGGACAGCTGTCCTCTTTTTTCTACGGGGACGGACGTATAGCCGACGCAACGTCGCGGGCAACCGAAAAGTGGAGAACGAGAAAGAGAAACGCGGAAACCTCCTCACGGTCCAACTTAGACACGGCTCCAGACACGGCGGAAGGAACAAGATGGATTACCTGACACTACCGGACAAGATCAATTGAATTTCTATTTGGACGTAACCGAACCCCGCTTCTAGGTGCCCTCCTCCCTCTCGATCCAGCGAGCTCCCCGCGCAAGCATTAACGTCTAATTCTTCTCGATCTTCGTTGTAGATCCCGGCGACAACTTCCCCCGCGTGTCTCTTTTTGACGATAAATAACAAAAATCAAATTTTTTTTTTCTTCTAATTGTTAGTGTCAAGTTGCGTGCGAAGTTGGAGTTTGCTCTGTCTAAAATATATTATGACGAGCAATTGTATTTGTAAAGCAATTTAAAAAGCTTTTTTTGAAAATTGTTAATTTTGAAAATTTTTATTATATAAATTGAGACTATTATAACTGCGGACGAATTTTTGCTTCTGGTAGTAGGTTTAATTATTTTCGCGGTGGTCCTCTTAATTTTTTACGCGCACAATAACAGGAGGGTCACGGCATCCTTCTTTTGCCGTCTCTGACGCGGTAATAATAAATGACTTTGCCAGTAGATGTCTAATTACCTTCATGGACACCATGCAGATGGACGATGCGAGTACTGATAATCGTGTAACTTTTTTGTTGTTGCCTCTATATCAAGAGTCGGTTGAATTCAGCGCGCGTTTCAGCTAATTTAATCAAGTAAAATGGAAAATAAAAACGTTTTTTTATATATTCGTAACGCGATAGTCAAAACTGGATCGATAATTCGGCATTCTCTAATCGAAAAGTGAGAACCAATCATTATTATTACAGAGTTATTATTCATATTTTTGTTTCATCCGAGTTTCTCCGAGTTTCTCTCGGAAACCAATAATTTCAGTTGCACAAACTGTGAAAGAGAGACAAGGATGATACGACGTTTTTCTCATATTATTTTTGTCCGCGTCGAAGAAGAATTCCCGAATACGTGCCGATTTATTTTGAAGCGTATCGACACACTGCACTCAATACGCTTTACATCTCTATACAATATAACTATATTTATGTGTAACATAAAAAGCTTGAAAGAAAGCTAATGTAAATTGAAATTAAAGAAACAAGAAATACGAATTGTGCGTGTAACTTTCAGCACGGTATATATACCGTTTGGATATTCGTAATCATATCGCTTCTTTACGCTTCGTGCATTTTCAAAGCAAATAATGTCGTGTCATTGACAATATATATTGCGCGGAACACAAGCGCGAATCATTTTTGCAGTCAATAACCGATTACAATTATCGTCGACCGCTACTATCTATTGTTTTGTAAAAATATATTTTTTTCCCCGACTACATACGAGACTACAAATAATCGCGCAATTAACCTAATGACAAAGAGAAGCATAATGAGATAAAACGAGTAATATCGGCATTTAAGCGGTCGATGTCAATCGGTCGTAATCCCGCGAGCATAAACATCACGCGTGTATTCTCGTATATGTGCGTATACATATATCAATAGCGTACAGCCGAATACATGAATTGGGGTGTTAATGAGCCCAGCTCGGTGATAACTCGCTAAATGCCAGCGCTGCTCAAGCAAACCGCTTATTTCTACCCTCAAGAAACCTTGCGTCTGCGTTTCGTGCGAATGCATTCGCGGGTCCCCGGCAATGCCACGACTTCGGCCAACAAACCGGCAATGCATCGTTAGCCCGACTGGCTGGCAGATAAATGACGTGGTCGCCTCACATCTGACGTGAATGAAGCCACGATGGCTTACCCGACGTGTGTACCTACATGCGTATTTGCGTGCGCGTGTGAGCGTCGACGCACTCGTGTCGATGTGTCCGGGTACAACCCACGCCATTCCAACCGGTGATCGCAATAACTACCTAATGGTGCATTCAATGCCATCATCTAGCCAAGCGGTCTGCTCAGCGCGAGTTTTCCACAGATCAATTAAACGTTTCGATTTCGCGGATTTTTCGCCTCGAGCGATTGTTCGCGCGAATTGCGATCAAAGCACTCCGAGCGCTCGAGCGAGCCGCGTAATGATAATTGCGCGAGTAGATTTAATAAAAGGTTTCGTCAACCTTGAAGAGACCCCGTCGTCACTACGATCTAGATCCGGTAGATCTTTGTCTCTAAAATGATTTTATTCACAACGCGAGATTAGATTACGTGGGAAAATATCGATCGGTGATCACTATTATTCTTTAACGATCATATCCGGTGGTTGAGGAGAGTGCCTATGATTTATATAATGGTTCTTCCAACGCGCTTACATCATAAGCACCCTCAGGCGTTAGTTTTGCCGTCATGTACGTGTGTTTCCTTTCAACGGCGCGCACGATGATCCGATATGAAGTTTCGAACGTCGTACGTAGCAAACGAAAGAAATGTATCCAAAGCAAACAAAAATCTCAAAGTTTGACGTGTACACAATTTTGCGCGTAATTATTTTCCGGCGTATATTTTTTTTTTTTTTACATTTGCGAAGTTTACGTAATCATTAGCGTCAAAATAAAGTGTCATAATTAGATTATTATCGGCGTTTCAATCGTGTGAAATTATTTTTCAACGGTCATATGGCAGTTTCTTCTGAGCGCATCAAGTATTTACCGTGCGTGCCAAATTGGGGAGTGGCCGTTACACACGATACACGGTTTATAAGAGAGGGTGGAAGTTGTCTTCCCTCAGCGCGCGGCAGAAGAATTCACTGGTTTCCGGTACACGCAAAAGTCTCATTAACTTTCGCCACCCGATATATAAAATAGATTCGTCGGTCTTCGGCCAGAAACGAAAGAAACGAATAATCAAGAGCAAAAAGAGACACTACTTATAATTTCCGAGTTTTGTATGAGTTTTGTATAACAGAACAATAAACTTGAAACACGTATTTCCAGTTTTCTCGTAACTAACGAATGTTTTAACTGATTGATTAATAAACGTATAATTAAAATTAATAAATGTGATATATATCTGTTTATATCTCAAGTTCTCTTGCGTCGTTTTAATTTACATTATAACAAAACATATCGTACACGCGCATATACTCGAGCGAGGAACGTTGACGGTTCCACAACGAATGAACAGCTAGCGAGGCATCGTGACGTCGGTGGACGTATCATCGTATCAATGCGGCGGAGATTGACAGTCCTGGCCATGATAAATGATATTTCCAACGTCCTACTCTCTTCTCTCCTTCCTCCCTCGTGCCATTGCGGATCCATCCCTGCTGAGTTCGGCTAGGCGCGCGAGGGTGCTCTCCAACTGGCTCCAACCGAGTAGACTGAGTAGCGTGGAGGGAAGATATCCGCGGCGAGAAGTAAACACGTTACGCAAACAAATGTCGGATCGATATTATCCCTCCTTTTCCGCAAAATAAACTCCACGTGAGATCTTCAGACGTGAGATTTTTGTTTTAATGCGTCTGACACATGAATATTTTTCTACTCGGCAAATAATAACAAATGTTTCTCTTAAGTAATCATTTTTTATTGGGTTGTTTACTTCGAAGTGATCTTTTTTGTGTAACTCGGAAAAAAAATCGAATAATAAAATTTTCTGCGAATTATATTGTCTAACCAGTTGCGCAATTACGGAGTTGCAAATCAGAAGGATAAGAAGGAGGAAGAGGAAGAGAGAAAGAGCTAAAGTTAATTTCGATATTATTCTAATCCAAGTGTTACGAGATAATAAGACGAACTATGCGAAATCACGCGCTATCACGAGCAATAATAGCCTTTTTACGTGCAATTTCCGACCTATCGATCGAGAAAGGATTAGGTTCTCGTTCTTGAGGGTACTTTCCGGTAAAATCATGCTCAAAGTAGGTAATTTTTATTATTTTTTTCGAGAAAAGTGAACAACGTAAAGTAATACGAATTTTTGAATTTTATTGTAGTACTATTATAGGGTATGAAATTAAAAATTTTAGATGATCCTGTCACATGTTCTGATGGCGCTCATCAACGACTATGATTTTGAATGCATCATCCGAGACGTATCAAAGGCACAAATGCGTAAAACTTAGATAACAAAATTTTTTATACTCTATAATTGCACTACAATACAATAAAACTTCAAAATGTTTATTTTATCTTACATTGTTTACTTTTCTCAAAAAAAAATCATAAAAATTACTTATTTCGGGCACGATTTCACTGGAAAGTGCCTTCTTCGATTTTTGTTGGGTTTGTTTTTGCTGAGTAAAATTTATTACCCAAACGTGATAAGTACGTATATCCTTACACAGTCGCTACTTTTGAAGAGGATGTCGATTCTTTCTGACAGGCATTTTTAGTGTTTTGAAATTAATGCGAATGTCTTTTAATCTGTAATTCTAGTTCAACTAATCAGAAAGAGATGACGCTCCTAACAGTTACACACTTTAAATCGGATAGCTTAATATATATACATATTTGTGTTGATGCTCTTGGCTTCGTCTTTGCCGTACCGAATGAATTAGTCGGAACGAACGGAATCGTAAGTACTTTGGACTATTAATGTATCGCGCTACAAATATGTTGTGATTGTACAAGTCGAAGATTTTGTTTCTTTTGTTTGTCCATTTAAGTTATGCATTTATACGGTTGTAAAATTTATCTGCAAAATCGCGTTGTTGAAAGATACACTTTCGGTTCGACAAAGAATCCTGAGGTTAGTCACGGTGTGAATTGGGAAAAAGCGTGACGAAAACGAGACCGTAGTTTCACATTTCTTCGTTCACGAAACGTTTTCAAACTGAAATCGGTGCACATGTAGTTCAAAAGCAGTTCTTCGCGTCGAAGGTTCGACGATAGAGAATCAGGTTTTTCCGCGTAAAACCGAACTCCGTTCTGTACACTATTGCGACCAAATTTTAGTAAACCTGACGCAAATTGCAACGTTTTCTTTTATTTAATCTAATTTTTTTTACGCTCGAAAAATCGATTCTCTTCTTGATATCTCAATTTCTCGAAATTGTTATCGTCACGAAAAGAGACATAGACGTGCGCGGTAATATGTGCGCGGTGTGTGGCACAATGTAAACAAAGCATAAATCAATCGCACTATATATATAACACATACATGTGTGCGCGTGTGTGTGCGTATGCCGTCTGGTTTGATCTCCATTCCCAATTTTCCCAAATGGCTACAAATGTCGCGCTTTTGCAGTGACGAAAATTCCTTACATCGATCGTTGCTCGTGTGGCGGAGAATTGGAGATAGGGACCGCACATATGTCACCCTATAAAATGGCACGCCATTTTACGCAACCCACAAAATCTACGCATCAGCTATCATTCGCATTCTTCGGATCAGGAAAATCGTCTCGTCAAGCGCGCACATATAGAAAATATTTAAAATATCGTTACGTTGATGAAATCAAAATAAACAAATGTTGCGTTGAAGTTTCTAAAATACTTCGGTTGAGACGTTACCAAGTCCTTTTCAGACTCTTGCGGATGTCGGCTTCTCAAAAAAGTGAGAGATTTTACGACTTACATTGTGTCAATATACAAAGACGCAGAATGCAGCTTTGTACGTACATTATCGAATTCTTCAAATATCTGAAAACCTTGAAAACCGTCAATAGAAAAACAAAGTTCGTTTACAAAGTAAGACTACTGTATCAGCGCGATGCTTTGGTACGACTGTAACTCAGACTGTACAGTCGGGGGAATAACAAGTTCTGGCGCGAATCGAAAAAACAATAAGAAAACAATACGCTCTTGAAATGTATATTTCGAGTCGTAATTATATCATTACAAGCTGCAAAAGTAATAATTTTAAGAAGAAAAACATTTTTAAAGAAAGACGTGGAGAAGTGCACTTTCTTAAAGCGTGTAACGTGCGTTATTAACGACGGACCGCAAAGTAACGAAATGAAGTCAGTAGCTAAAATCATTACGAAAAATGCTCCCGACTGCGGAACCCTCGTCTCTTCCCACAAATATCGCCTATCGAGGATTATTATTTATTACTATCGTCCCAGTCGGCTAACACAGAATGCATTTCACATCCACGCGCGTGAGAGCGCGCGGCTGAGTTCTTTCTATCGTCGTTTGATTCGCTTGTGTGTACACAGCCGAAACTTTGACTGTATACGTGCGACGACTGTATATGCGCGTGTGCAGACGCGTGTCCGTTCTGATCAACCGTTTAGAATCCCCGTAGGTTTGGTCACCACTTCGAACACATCATTAATCACTTTTTTTTTCCCGGCTGCGCTTTGCTATTTATAGTTTTGTCCGCAAGGCCGTCTATTATCTTCCGTTAAAGATAATTATATTCTAACTATTTCTTCTCTAACTCTATCGCTGGCGCCGTCTGTGCGTGTGTGTCGAACTTGAACGATATATCTTATTTAAGTATCCCAATACTTCCTTAATTTTTTAATCAAGAGCGACAGTTGCTAATGATTCAGCGAAGCCACGTATTTTTGTATAGTTTAGGAACAAACTATTTGTTCAATAGCTTTTATATAAGTTTGTATGGATGGAAATGTTTGTGTTTTTTTAAATTTTATTATTAATTATTTATTTCATTTTACTACAATTTTTTTCTTTCTATTTTATCAGATTGTTTGTTGTAGAATTTATTTATTTATTATTCACTTGAGTAAAGTGAGATTAGAGGAGATTTTCTTTCGGTATACTTTTATCTAGATATCATTTCCACACATACACACAGACACATACACGCAACACGTATACATAAAAAGCTTACCTTGTACGGAGAGCCGATTTCAAATTGACACGAGCCGGAGCAATGACTCCGTAGCAAAGATGTCTCGTACGCGCACATGGCGGGTCTGCATTGTGCGAGGTCGGGTTGGGGTAGGGAGGCCCAATATGGGTTTTGTGTCAATAGCGTGTTTAATAGTGGGAGGGGACTGTGCGGCACGAGCAGCAGATCAAAAATCGAATATATATCGGGGGTGGTCTTAGCGGTGAATCGAGGGGCAGCTGACAGAGCCGGTGCTCCCCTGCGACGCGAGAGGTACAGAGAGAAAGAGAGAGAAATGCGCCAAGGGTAACTCTCATCCCCTCCAACTTTGGGTGACCATGTTTTTCGAGAACTGTTAGAATTGTTAGGTACCACCATAAAAGCGCCCTGCAGAAAAGGTTGCAGAAGCTGAACTAGCCGAGCTAGAACATTCTGTTTCAAGTTGTCTTCGTATCCGGAGGTGTCGCGCGTTACGCGCATATTTCGACCGGAAATGATACTATTCGTTTTGAAAATAATAACGCGTGCGTAAATATCTGGATGACGTCACACATGTTTACACACACAGTGGCAGTGACTTCCTTGACGATTACGTATAGTGATAATGTGTGATTGTGTTTGATAAAATAGATCTCAATTCTCTCTCTCTCTCTCTCTTTTTCAATCATTTTTTGCACAAGTAGAATATTTTCGCAAAACTCAAAGAGAAAAAAACAGTGCAGAACGCGCGCGCGCGTGTGCGTATATGTTTGTGTGTGTGCGATTATAAATAACAACAAATTAATAATATTCTAATATGAACTTGGAAAACCAGATGTGTTCCAGCAGCAACGATACTTATTTTAGAAATTCTGCGGAACAATTTTGCAAGTTTATGTATAATTGTCCAACGGAAGAAACCTTACCTTTCAAGCATGGTTTCTCGGTATCGACCCAATCTATGTCGATGCAACAGCAGTCATTATATCAGCAGGGAGTGATTTCGGCTGATCGTACAGAATCTCAAGAGAAATCGACATCATTCAGCTTACTGCATTCTCTTTTAGTTCATGGAAAGGAAGCGGTAAAACAAGAATATGATGCATCTTCAGGTGCGAATTTACGTAATCCAATAAAACTAAATTTCTTCACATAATTCGCGTTAGATTATAGTTCACTATAAAAGTTCACTATAAAAGTCGCTTCTCTTTTATAAAATTTTCCTTAATTAATTCTTTCACTTCGAGCAATTCGTTGTCGTACATGTTCATACAACTGTGCCGTCACACATGAATAGAACAAAGTCTAGATTTACTTTCGAAAACTCCGAAGGGCAAAATGTTCCCTTTTTCTAAAAAGTTACTTCCTTTGTGTTACCTGCTTGACCTTGCGCTTTGTGTCTATTGCCTAAGAGATCGATCCGAGAATTTCAGTTTCACTTTTTCAAGGACTGACCGATTCTATTGGTCAATTCAGTCACTCGACTAATACGACTGGTTGCATTCCCACACGGAGTAGTTCAAAAACTCGGACCGGTTTTTCGGTTTGTAGACACTAATTGTAAAATTTTGAGAGAAAGAGAGAGAGAGAGAGAGAGAGAGAGAGAGAGAGAGAGAGAGAGAAATCACAATCTGTACTTTACATAATATACATCTTATCTTTTTATTTTATCTTCTGATTTTTTAACTTATCTTTTGACACATTTTTAATAGTAGAACATGGAAGGAAATTTCAAAGTAACGAATATGGAGAACAATATTCGAAAAACATCTTAGAATCAAGTAATTATCCTACACTGAGTTTTCCCTCCGTGGAGGAATCAGCACAATGTTCCAACTCGTACTTACCACAACAACAACAAGAAGCAAACAACAATTTACTTGTACAATCCATATCATTCAATAATTGCGATTCTAACCAAATGTATGAATGGATGAAACAAAGAACGCTCGGTGAGTTAATGTTTTTTTTATAATAAAATCGCATGTTCTCTTTCTTTCAAAATGTTAGCAATATGTCAGCAGAGTTTAACTGTTTAAATAACACATATAAATTTAAATCTGTGTTTGGTTTTCGCAGGTGCAGAAATGGCACACAAACGTAAACGGCAGATTTACACACGCTATCAAACTCTGGAATTAGAAAAAGAATTTTATTCGAATAAATATGTGACAAAATCAACTCGCGAACGTCTAGCTGCGCATCTCAAGTTATCGACGCGCCAGGTTAAAATATGGTTTCAAAATCGACGAATGAAAGAGAAAAAAGATAGTCCGAATATAGTATCTAGCACCTTATCTATACCTACAATATCGTCGACAAGTTTAGTACCGAAGAGCAATGAAATAATCCAGCAACATAATCAACAAACATTAAATTTTACGGAAACACAACAACAATTGCAATTTCATATTCCGCATATAGCGCAGCAAGAACAGTTTTGCGATAGGTATCCAAATTATCCTAATTACACTTCGTATCAACAAAATGGTTGTAGTATGAACTACAACCCACAAGTATAATATTATTATTCTAACATAATTATATAAATTATAATTCTTCGTAGATTATAATTCTTGTAAGATAAAATTATTTGTCTAGTTCCAAAGAGATAAAATATTATTTTTGTAACAAAGAATCTTTTAGAGCGGTATTCAAACTTGGTTCTTTTTTAATAAAATAAGATTATTTAAATATGTATGCAAACAGATACATACAAATATATATTTTTATATTTAATATATATATATACATATATTAAATATAATTATATTATATTTAATACATACATATTAAATATAAAAATAAAACAAAATATAAAGTTCTTGAATACCGCATATATTTTTTATTTAACTACTTTAAAATAACACTTTCACATACTTATAGAAAACAATTCTAATGTAAATCGCTTGTTAATTGAACTATATCTACATGAAGAAACAGAATCACTAATAATTTTTAATAATGTTAACAAAATTCATATCATTTACCAGTTCTTTTAAATATTGGATTCTAATCTGTATCGAAATCACATGATCGGAATTAATTTATATTCTGAAGTTTATCAGTCACACGCATTTTCTTTTGCGAGAGAACTGCAATAAAACGGATTATTGCATCTAATACATATGTAGTTCACAGAATCATGCCAGTATTTAAAATCTAAGTTTAAGAAACGATGTTATACCGAATTCATGACAAAATTGGTCCTTCACGCTGCCGCTCGTAAAGAGGGAATGTGCCGCCACCGGTCGAGATCGGGGCAGCTGACCTTGCACACTATGATTTATGGCCGAACTAAACAACGAACGTCCTACACCTCAGGTACTGAGACCGAAGGCTTCGCATTGCATTTTCTTCAAGGCATATTCGCTTTGTAATACACAACTTTTCGTTTCGGAAAGTAAAGTCTATCAACGAATATTGCATACGTCATTGCCAAAAATATTTTGACAAACGGAACAAAGTAGTTCATACACGATCTGATTAATGATAGCGTTTGCTACAAGCTTTAGCTCCTTTATTATCCGTAAAGTTTTAGCTCATTTTTATTTTACAATATAAATTAACACATTTATATTTTTGTTATATTCAATCTAATTGTATCGTAGACTGTTTTATTGATGCATCAATACAATGTATGCAGTTACACCGTAGAACAGACTACGTTGGTTATAAAAAAAACTGCAAAAAATTTATCACTTGTCATATATATATATATATATATATAAAATATTAAATATGTTATATATAGATTTAATATTTTAAATATAAAGTATTTTGTTTAACAAAAACTCAACAAATCATATCTGACACACTATTATACAACAACATTATAATATTTTACTATTAAATACATACAGAAAATATGTACTGTGAAGCTTTCTGTATGTATTCATTATAGTTATTGCATAATAGTGAAGAAAAACTAGCTGCGGAACCATTTAGTAAGCTTGATACGTTAGAATTTAGGGGATGAATAGGTAGAGTAGAGAGGGGGATCGCTATGCAGCTGCGCTGTTGACGCAGACCAAGATGGTTGAAACTGTAACGCGTGTGTATACATGGGTGTTCTTCTTTTATACTTAAATTTTATCGTTTGAAGTGTATTTTTCATACAAAAGTAAATTTTATTTTATTGCTGACCTACAGTGTTCTACGGTGTACAATTTTATGATTCTCAAATAAAACAAATCTACGATTACATGATAAAAACTTGACATAAACGTATCGTAACATTACCGACGACACAAGTTGCCATATCGATCTCGTATAGATTAGTGATATACAAGTTAAGTGCAATTAGTTTTATAATAAACACTTCGAATCACACATACATACACAGAAGGAAGAGAGAAAGACTAAGAACCAATGCGAGTGTTGGTGCAAAAAAAAAGTACAAATACATTTTGATTATAAATTATACATTACATTTAATTTTGATGTCTCTTTGAGAAGTAAGTAAAATTTATATAAATAAAAATTATGAATGAAATTATCTAGATAGAACTCTTGTTTTTTATAAGAGGCTTTTCTTTAATGTTTTTACGATTGTTTTCTATTAAGACTGTAATTTATTATTCTCGTATATGCGCGAATACGAAAAAAGATTATTTAGTCATTCATATAAATAGTCTAATTTCAGTTTTACTTACATCTCTGAAGTTATCAAAAGTAAAATAGCTACATTATAGTATAATATATAGTATAATCTTATGCGTGAAAGTGTATTAAGTTCATTCATTTTTTGTGAATTTAATTTTGAAAAAAAACCAAATGAAAGTATCCAAATGGTCATGAGAATAATCTGCCTTTTCTAATGTTGACAATGGTATTTTAGTCGTTTCTCGCAATTTTGTTGCCTCAACAGCTAGCACATTAAATTTCTCCAAGTTCAACTTCTAAAAGAAGCATTTTTATCATTAATTTCTGGTCCCTATTTTCTGGGATCCATTATCCGTGTCGTTGCTTTTGTATTCTTGCTTTCAGACCTTGATTTTCTCTTCTTCGTGAATGTGATGCATAGAGATATTCGTCTCCTATAAAGGTGACAAAATATCAAATAGCTTTTATTAGCCTTGTTTATTTTTTTTTTTTTTAATCTGAACTTGCGAACTAGGTTTTTTTCATCACCAACAGTGTTCAATTTGTATACATAATACTATCAAATCACATCGTCACCTATATAGTATTATGTGTATGTCTCAATTTTAGTTTATATCTAGTGTATTACATTATATTTCACAAGGTAATAAGTTCCTAATACAATAAAGATATTATATTTACAAAGTTATTTAGAATAATGCGTTATGCGAATAACAGTATACATTTACTATATAAACTTCAGAAACTGCGATATGTGTGAGATTCTATTTTTACATGCTATGCACTTTTGTTTAAAACCTTAGAATTCTAATAACAATAAAAACATGAATGAATTACGAAAAAAATATTTTTTTATATTCATTATTTTTTACATGTGTGTTTTCGTACGCAAATTAAATTTTAATTTTTTTTCATAATTTCAATGATGGCAATAGATTTGGAAAATTTTAAACTAGGACGAATTCTTAGGCAAACAAAGAATCCATGAGGAAAAAGATAGGTTGTTCGCGAAATGGTCGAAGATTTAGGCGAAAACGGAAAAGGAGGAGAAAAAGAGGATGGAAAGGGGGCTGAGAAAGGTTTGTATGGCAATGTGTAGGTAAACCTACATTGCAGAACGCAACCCCAGGAGGGACGGCGGCAACGAGAGTGAACCCCAAGTGTGCACAGGGGTTGGACAGAGAGAGCGAGGGTCGATATTGTGCTTGACAGATAGTTTCCCATAGCTCCGACAATCCATCATGGCCGGCACGCGGATACGTATTGGTTTTTGTGCAACGCGTCTTAGCTGTGAACCTCGAATTGAATGTATTTTTTTCTCTGTCAATATACATATATTCTCTTGCGCAAAATTTGTTTTCGCGTGCAGAATTTTAGCAAAGTAGTGAATATACGTATACACGTCTAATTATCTACACATACAGATATAAGTAATTAACTATATTTATTACGTAATGTTGAAAAGCGTTCACATAAGCAACTATATGACAATCATGTAAACGAGTTTGGTCTGAAAATAGAATAGAAAAACTCAATGCAAAACAAGAGCAACAATTTAAACAAAGAACGATTAAATTTTATATTCTATTATTATATCTATTGTATATTATATCTATTATATCTAATGTGTAAAGTATACATAAATAGAATACATTCTTGTAATCTTGAAAAACACGATAATAAGTTTCTACGAACAAGTTATAAAAATATAATTATCATTGCCTATTAAAATCAGATATTATAATTAATAATAAACATTTTATTGTAGTTTTGCGTTACACGTTTCTTAAAATAAATTGATTCTTGTTATTATAAATTCTTTCACCCCTAAAAAAAAGAAATAAACTTTCTCTCTCTGTGTATTCTTTTTATTAATTATAATACATTATTATCTCATAACATAAAGATGAGCCTCTCTTAATGGTTTGTGATACTCTGTAAAATCCAATCTGAATTTACTAATTAAAACGTCTTCACCGTGTGTGTAATCTACTAAATTCGTGGTTATATATAGTAAACGGATATGATGACACAGATTATAGAGCTGTCCGACGGAAAGATTCTTTATGAACAGCTCTCTGTAAAACGTAACTTTGATGCAAAGTAAGATAGTGATATTATCAGCCAACCGTTATATCACACAGTTCTTCCACTATTCAGTTTATTTTTAATTTTATTATATTATCAATTTTGTAACTTGCCCTGAAGTTAAACATTTATTGATGTTTTAAATCATATTTTTCAAATACATTGCAATCTAATTATAATGTGATAATATAATAACTGCACTTCTCCGGATGTGCGAATTGTCGAGCAGTTGACAGTCAATACATGATGGTGAATTGTGAAAGAAAGAGAGAGAAAGAGGAAGAAGAGAACAAGCATAAACCATTCCGCGAATTACCAAGAGAAAGAGCATAACAGATACACGTGTCTTGGCGGCTTTGCTTTGCGACACTGATTCATGGAGGTCTTGATACGTTTTTTACACTTGCGACAGCTTTATTGGAAATTCTAATGGAGAGGGTCCATGATGAAGAGAGGGGAGGATGAGAGAAGAGTGACATGAGTCCTCGAGGCAATGTATTTCGGATCGATTGAAATAGGCCAGTCAGATTCTGTCTGAGATCTTGCCATCATTAGTCGTCAATTGATTGAAATTCAAATGTACTAATTCGTTATGACGCGCGCGGATAACGTGAAATAATTTAAATCTAAACAAGCGAACTTTATTACATAATTTTATGTACTTCCCTGACGACATAAAATTGACGCGGCAATAAAATAATGATATATTTTTACATTTATAAAATAGATCAAACTCTAAAAAATTGTAAGTAAATGTTCTCTTAAAGCTGGTAGCAATATTTCATAGATAATTAGGTATTGATTATAATGAATGGCATAATAGCGGTTCGATTCACCGTTTAGCGGTCTGCGGATCACGATTTTTCATCAGCTCTCGCGCGAAAGAAGAGGCTTAATGTGATAGTAGGTGTAGGACAAACAGCGGATTCTGAAGTGGCGAATGCTATGGAAAATAGTGGGGATACGCGCGGCCGTGTACGTACACAGATGCGACGACTCAAAGTGGAAGAGATAGCCAGTTTTGTCTGAGCGGTGGGGCGAGCGATTAAGTGGTGGGGAGAAGAAGAGGAAGGGTAGGACGACTGGGGGCGGGCGCGCGCCACAATTCAACGAGAACGGCCACACTCGCCACATCTGGCGAGCAACTGCTATACTATTGGCTCTCTGCTCTCTCAAAATTCTAATCTCTTTCTTTCAAATTGTTAATACCGCAAATTACTTGCCACAAGCAATATACAATCTTTAAACAGGAGAAAATGTAATAAAAATAAATTATAAACTATTAACATTCAAACTTTCTCTCAATCTTTCGTATAATCATTATGAGAGTACTTATTAAAGTTTTGCAAATCTAAATTTCTTTCTATTTTAATAATAACTAAAACAAATTAAGGACAAGACATAAAACTTTAGAACTTCTGAAAAACTTTTAGAATACAAAAAAAAGAGAACAAAAAAATTTGTAATTTATTGCGTGCGAAGATGAAAACAAGCGAGCTCTCCGCTTTGAAATGCCAAAGAAATTTTGCTTAACGTAAAGAACTTGTTTAAAGTCTTATCTGCGACGCGCAAAGGGAGCTCCGCCTCCTCAGCCGTCCCCTCCGCTCCGTTGCTATCCACGAGTGCCCCCCGTTTGACCAACTGGCTACTACGTCACACATGCTTCTGCTTAGAGCCGCCAACTCCAAAGGTTCTCCTCTCGGCCGGCTCAGTGAGTTACGAGTTGCGTCCGGGTTCGCCGAACGAGCGATAACGGGGGCGTCAATCGAATCGCGATTGGGAGAGGATTCTACCTCGTGCACGCTCTTCCTTCCTTGTCTTTCCCGGCTACAGGCAACAGGTTTGAATTTATGGGACAATAAAGAGTGTGGTGCGTAGTGCGCGTGTCTCTCTCTTCCTTTCACAGTTGTTTCTCTCTCTCTCTTTCCCTCTCTCTCTCTCTCTCTCTCTCTATTTTACGCTTTTCTTTCCCGCTCTAAAAAAAAGATCTCCCTTTTCTCTCACGCAGACATCCTGTCCTTTCGTTGTGAAAAGAGGAGTGAGCAGCGAAGACTATCAAACTCTCATAAAACTGTCAGCCGCGGCCACCGGGGCTGACTTATGTGCGCCCCTTCCTTAGTCGCGGTTGGAGAACCACACGCTCTCCTCAGGTTGGGTTTGTGCCTCTCGCGCGACGATCACCGGCGATTTCATCTCGCGGATCTCTCAACGAGAGATCAGACGCACGATCTCCGCCGCTCCGAAAAAAAAGCGACCGAAAGTGAACACAACAACGCGTGCTCGCATCTCCACTTCACGTGTTACAACATGCAAGTATATGACAATTCGCACCTTCGAAACGTACTTTTCTTCTATGTCTCTGATCAAAAAGAGATACGGTGTGTACGTATGATCAAGCTAAGATGAATTCGCGACGGTAAAATCGGCGGAGATACGGCAATATTAATGGTTGAATCGTTTTCGGTCGATCAGTAAGGAACAATCGCGCTTTCGTGTGCCGTACCACCCCTTTTCTTTTTCATCTGTCTTCACCGCGAGGCTGTACAGTAGGGGGCGCGTGCGCGTGTAGCCCCCCTCGCAAAGCGAACGGAAGACTGCTTCTTGGTGACGTCGCGGCTAGAAGGCTGCAGAGGAGAACGAGAGTGCGATCGAGATACTTCTCCCCCACCAGTCTGGTTTCAGGACTCCCGAATATCTCTCCATTAGCCCCCCTGACGGTGCTATCCCCTCTCCTTGACCCCTCTCTCGCCCTCTTTCTCTCTCTCGCACGCACACCCCTCTCATCGGTTCCTGTCACGTCGGGTAGCAGCCAGGCAACACCACCACACGACGAACGCCAGCGGCAGCGGAGACTCGACGGAGACGCAAAGAACGGGGTTGAAGAATCGTACGCCGACGGAGAGACCAATCAAGGTTTGACGAACGGCAGGGATTGGTCGACGCGCTCCTCTGACACGCAGAGAGCGCGGGCACGTGACAAGCTACCGCACACACCGGGCCTTCTGTTGGATCACGGCAAAGCCTCCAGTACAATATCAACCACCCTTCGCGCATGCAACAGAAACGGGAACCCGCGCGATACTTTTTACCCTCTCGTCGTGGTGATATGAGCACGAGCCTCGATAGTGGCCGGGCCTCTGCCATCGTCGCGATTACAAGAAGTTAAATGCAACTGTTTAAAGTGCAACAACACACCTGTGACATCGATGAAAAAACGCCGATTAATCATCGCCGTGAATAATTTTTAAATAGAACCCCGCATGTGTTACCTCACATATTATTTCATTGAGGAGGGATTTTACAAGGTCATCTTCAATGGGGCACCTCGATAAGCTGCTCGTTACGCGCTACTGCACGGTGGGTCCACAAGTTCTCTGTAGGTAATCGTGGTCTCGTGAGGTCGTAAAGAAGCAGAAGACAGTTTTATAGCCCAGGCCCACGTGGCCCTCGTAAACTTGACTCGCAGGTCGGTTCGAATTCAAACTCGACCCGCCTGCCGCCACTCATCTGCCTCTCTCTCTATTAGTCCTAAACCCCTCGTTCATTATCGAATCGCTTAGGGACGTGTTTCTCGGCGTGTAACAGGTCGTGATAGCTGTGAATCGTTTGGCGAACAAGGTGAAGGCTTGTTGAAGCCGACCACGTGTGTCGTCGCGCGATATTTATTATTGCGATATCTCGCAACCAGCATGATAACGGATTTTTGAATACTTAAATGACGGCGCACGTCATTCAAGTATCGTCTCGGTCGATCGAACACAGTGTTTTCGCGAATGACGTAGAGGTGCTAAGTCGATATAGTGACGTTGACAATAAGTGAACGCGGTTACGGTGAAGAATGAGTTCCTATCAATTCGTCAACTCGCTCGCATCATGCTATGCGGGTCAACAGCAACAGCAGCAACCGAGACCAACCGCGAATTCGCCTGGAGAACCAATGCAGGCGGCATCGCCGGCCGGTGGAGACTATTACAATCCGAATGCGGCGTCCACAAGCTATCCCGCACCGTGCTACTCGCCCCAACAACATTATCCGCAACACCCTTACGCTACTCCGGCATCCGGTATGCAACATACGGCGCCAACAGGAATGATAGACTATACTCAACTGCAACCGCAACCACGATTAAACGCGACCGCGACGTCGCAGCAACACGGTATGCACACTCAGCAGTCGCAACATCATCAGCAACCGCACCATCCCCAGCAACAGCTTCACGCGGATCCGACGACGCCTCTTCTTCAGGGCGCCTCAGCACCGTCAGCGCCGTCAACGTCCAGCTGTAAATACGCTGATTCGACATCGTCTACGAGCGTGGCGTCTCCTCAAGATTTAACCACGTCCACTTCGAGAAATAGCCCCACGCCCTTAGTCGCGCCCGGTACAAGTAAAGCTGGATCAGGACTGACTTCTCCACCTGGTAGCTCGTCAAGGTCGTCCGTGGCCGCGTCTGCCGCCTCACCTCCGAGTGGTAGCTCGAGAGGTGTCGGCGAAGGAAATTCGACGCTGACAACAGCATCTTCTGCTTCATCGCCTGCTTCCTCCACATCCAGCACGTCCAGCACGGGTAACAATTCGTCCAACAAGGGGAACCCCTCCGGCTCCAATCCCCCTCAAATTTATCCATGGATGAAGAGGGTTCACATTGGTCAGAGTAAGTAGTTCGTCCATTATATATACGTCCTTCAGATCTTATTGAAAAATTAATGAGTTGTTTCTTTAAATCATGTTGTGTTAAATTTTTTCTGCGTATTTTTTTGTATTGGAACGGTTCTTTTAATCTTATCAGAAAGATAAAAATGGATGAATAATATCAACAACATATTTTATCCTAGTATATTATTCGCGAATATATTTCAAGATCTTATTTCATCTTTTAAATTTAAAATAGTTTAAAAACAAAAATATTCGTATGACATTTTACTTACAATATTTTGAATATAAATGTTGATGCCGTAAACTGGTCGACATTAAAAAAAAGTCATTAAAATTTAAGAGTATTGAATTTAAAGTGAAAAATATGATCGTATTTTGATCATCAATTTATCGAATTTTGAAAACGGTAACCTCGTTTTTTACGTAGTTTTTTTATATGTTATTGTATTAACAATACAAAAAACAAATATTCAAATTTGACATAAAATTATTACTTAATTTGAAAGGCAAATGCTCACGTATATCCACGTATAGATATTTCTTTTTAACGTGTTTGAAACGACGTTGATTGCACAATATGTTTTCACATATTGTGCGAAAATGTTAGAAAGTAATAAAGAAAATATATTGGGTGAAAAACAACTTTTACAATAGCAAAATGCTTGTCTCGAGTTTAACAGACATAGGTTGCATAAAAATGAGCGAACTAGTATTTAGTGAATTATGGTATGCAAGGTCAAGGAAGAGGCTATTATTGCACTTATTTGCATATGTATTGTATAGAAAATAGTACTAGTGAAAATGAGAAATGTGGATAGGATACTTTGTGACAGATAGATGGTGATTTAAAATGGACAATTCCTCGATAGTTAGACAAAGCTAAAAAGTGTAATAATAATATAGTATAAAAGTGTATATAAGCAATTTATAGAATATATATATATATATGATTTTTACATAAATCTGATGTAATAAAATCTAAATATACATTAACCATAATTTTTTCATACGATATATCATCAACCCGCTATTTATACGATGCATCTTTGATAAGAAAAAAAATCAACGTAAAGAAACATCGGACGAGATAAAGAAACAACTGAAAGATTAATAACTTCTTGAACGAGCAAATAGCAATTACGTAAATGTAATCCCCGCGACAACTCAAAATGAGTTCACGAAATCTCTGCCAGTGCAAAAAGTTGCAATCCGCGTACATAGCCGAGGACCAATCTCGTACGTGCGAAACAGGGCGGAAAATATTTCGAAAGGCGAAAGCTTAGATCAAAATGGATAATAGTAATTCAGCTGAGGCCACAGGACTAGATTCACCTGCCCCCGTGGTTCAAAGAAGATAAAACAGCACAACGCTGGTCGCGCTCACATTAGTCGCCCCGCGTGATTTACTGCGCGGCCAGTATGATTCAGTCAGCGGGGAATTTGACGAAGAATTAATGGTATTATGATATCGTGTGTAACTCTATGTATGTGCGCCCGGGCCATAAATCAGGCTGCATTGTAAGGCGCGGGGGGTTAGCCTTCTCTCCTTCTAGTTCTCTCGGGTTAGCTCGAACGAAGGCCTCAGACCGTTCGACTCGGCCCCCAAACGGGATGTACGCGGCTCAGATCTTTCTTGTGCGCGTTTCGGCTTCCTCTCCCGATCGCTCGCATCGTGCAGCATCCTTTTACCTCACCTTCCATATTTCGCGCGACTATTTTGCCTCGTTTCGCAAGAAGTTAAAGATGACCATTCGATAAAAAAAAAAAAGAAAACAGTTTACTATAATATAATATTATTCTCAAAAACAGGATCTCTCTTGACGTAGAATACATGAATTTTATTAGTGGGAGTAAAATTATGAGACAAGTAGAGAAATTATGAGACAAGCTTTTAATTATTTAACAGCAATAAAGAAATCTGAGATAATGACGCGTTGTAATGAAATTAACATGATAATGTGGTAGATGATTAATAAAAATAATGGAAAAATAGATTTTGTATATAAAACATCAGATAAAACATCTACTGTTCGAAAAAGATTAAATCACTAGCTACAATGAATAAGCGCCGAATAATTATTACGAAACAAAAAGCAAAACTAAACTAAATATAAATCTCAAAGTGAATTCAACAGTCAGTAGAAATTTGAAACATCAATGCTGTTGAAATTTTGTAAAAGTACTTCTCGAAATACGTCCTTGCTGTTGGCGAAATAACGTTGTTACACACGCATGTGGGTCATTCGCGGGGATAAGTAGTAAGTCTGAGTCTGATAAGTAGCTATCGCATCTCCGACGAGCAGTGCGCGCGAATAAACATGCAATTGATGCGTGAAATGAACAGTTTCTGCGGTTTATTTCCAAAATATCGATCGAACCAGGGTTACACAGACCCCTGTTTAGATAAGCAGAAGGTCGTTCTCGTCATGGAGTCTGTAATTATGGGTCGATCATTCCGCCATAAATAAGGATGTGCAGAGTGCCGCAAGGAAAGGCACGTTTCTGTGTCCCGATTGATAGATGGCTACCAAACGTGATTCCCGACATACGAATCTCCAATACGCCGGAAGGGTAGACAAGAGAGAGTTCCGAACCAGTGGAACTGGAATTTGCTTAATACCCTTTAACACATTTACACATCATAAATATGCGATAGTTGGCGCGAACAATCTTCTTGTCAAGGAAAACAGCTCGCGTTCAAATGATTGAAACGAATCGCAAGATTATGTTAAATTTTTCTGATTATCATTTATTCGATTAATTGGAGATTAGTGTCTGTATATGCGTTTTAGTTACAAGTATCTAATAACGAATAACGAAAATAACCTTTCACTTACTACACACCCGATATATTGGATTTTGATATGGTACTGATAAAACAAGTATCGTGTGCCTTAAGCAAACATACATACGTATACACGTACGAACGGTGGTGCTACTAAAAAGAGAAAGAGAGAAAGAGAGAGAGAGAGAGAGAGAGAGAGAAAGAGAGAAAGATACGAGAGAGAAGGATACGAGGACGCGCATCAAAGAACTGGTTTTACTAACCACATAGCATACTGCATTTTTACTGCCGACGAATATTTTTTCATTACGAAACGCTTAATCAGTCCGCGACACATGTATTTATACGAATGTTCTAAAATATTCATCTTATTAGTGCGATCGAGAATGTTTCGTCATCGCTCGCAAACTAATTTGACTGTCATATTTCTTTTTTTTTTTTTTTTTTTTTTAAGTAAAATATCTCAGAAACGTGGATGATTTATTCAATTATTTTTACCTAATGAGATAAGTTTAGTAAATTTATCAAGCTGCGATAAGAAGAAAAATTATAAAAAAAAAAAAGAATAAGTTATCGGTGTCATTGATTTTTTTATCTTATTGTTTGTGTATAACTAATATAATTGTATTTTAAATTGAAAATTAACAGATCCGATAGAGAAGATCTATCTTCGCTGGCTCGGGAGTACCGCGAAATCAATTGAAATAAAAAAAAAAAACGCGTGTTACACACATATAAAGAGAAGAGATTACCACCGGTATTATACAGTTATCGTATAACCGCGGGAAGAGCGCGAATCACTTATTAGGACATAAATTTTCATTGTAAGCGCCTAGTGCAAACGGGATGAGCCGATGGGGTAATGGATGTGTGCCGGGGGCGAAGTGGGCCGCCTGTTGCTGCGTGGCCCGGTCGCCACGGGGATCCTTGATCCTTATGCTCCTGCAGTCGCCTTTTCGGCCGACAAACCCTCCCCGAGGAAGATTTCCTCTTCTGAAAATTTACGAGCCAACGCTGAATAGCGTAGCAAGGGCGAGATGTCGCGGGTATACACACATTTCGTGGTTTTGTCACGACACGTGAATCGAAAAACCGTCCCGGAAAGATAACCGCGGAGTAGTAGGTACCTACTTTGTTTCCCTTCATCGTATATCACGAGATTCTTTCTAGATTTCAAAAAGTGCGTCCCATCTCACGCCAACCGTGATTATGTTCTTGATAATGCGTTTGCGTGTCGAAAAAATCAAGCCGTAAAATACATAAAACAGTACGTAGTTATTACATCAATGAACATTGTTAAATCAGCAATTATTTCGAATTAAGATTCACACATCCTTGCGCAGTGAGATAATTCCGCAATTTTTTAATGTTCTTAAATGTTAGATTTTCACAGCGCACATAAAATAGCCGTCTTGAACTCGTAAAACTCGTGTTTATACATTCTCACGGGTAATTTTATTAATATAAATATAAATCATAAGATAACATTTTAATGTTCGTAACAGATATTTCGCTAATGATTATTAACAACGTTTCACGGCAGGCGCGATTATTGCGAGTCGCGCGAGAGTAATGCAAGAATCGTGCGGGAAACGTCATCGTCCGTCGCGACAACTCGATTTAGAAGATACACAAGTCGCATGCAACGTGTAATAGTCGCGCACAGAGAGCTCGGCCGTGCCAGTGATAAATAAATCACGCGAGATCAACGGTTCTCTGTGCACTTACATCATCCTTTTTAAAATGTACAACCTACTGTGATGTAATCAAATTCTCGAACGTTTCGCTGTGACCGCGCGCGAAACAAATTCTTTACCATAAAATATTATGTTCCGCGCAAAAGTTCCGTGTGAATATATGTCTCGCGCATTTCGCGTTAATCAAAATACTCAAATGGTTTTTTACGCTATTGCTAAGTGTAAAATCACACACATTTAACCCTATAATTTTCCAATATATAATAAACGCAATAAAAATAAATTAACGCAAAACTATTGTATTATTAATCTTTTTTTTTTTTCTGGCGGAGATGAATAATGTCAAGAGTGATGTTACCTGTTTCTGTTTGTTTTATTATTTATTTTTGTTTTACTATTTATTTTTTCGCGATTTGCACACAAACTTTCTCGCGAATCAGTTATATTTGATTATTCCGGTACTTCAATCCATTAAAGTACAAGCGCGTATTTTGTCATAGTGTGTGCCCCTCACGG